CCTCCCACCCCCCCGCCAGTTGTTGGAGTGGGTCAGATGGCATACTTCAACCTTTGAACCAGTTCACAGAAATCTTGACATTTTTGTCTAGGTAATAGCCACTTAATCGCCCCAGGCAAAGAGTATTGTAAAAGAAATGGTAAATGCTGATTGCAGTTCTGTGTCCTCCTTGTCCTTGAAAAGAGTAGGAGGGGGCCAAGGGAGACCGTGGGGTTTGGATGTTCCTTTAGGGAATGGTCCTCAATGGGCCTTATCCTGTGGGGTAGAGAAATTCCTGGCAAGTGTTCTGGTTTTGGCGAATGCTTTATTAGAAATAGGGAGGGTTGCTGTTTCACAGAATCCTGTAATTCATCCCATCGTGAGGGTCATCTTTTTTGTAATTGCAAATCATCCCTGGGGTCTGTTGGGTGAGTTTGGACTTTCTTGGACCAGAGGAGGTCTCCGGCTTGGCCGCCTCTCCACAGCCTGCAGTGGAGTTTGTTGTGGGACCTGACCTTATACCGCTTAAGAGCGGAGCCGTAGAGCTGGAGTCGGCGGGGGGGGGGGTGCAGAGTTAATCATGATTAAATAGCGTATGAGTGGCTGGTGGCCAGTGGCTTGCGGCTGAGAAAGCTCTAGCAGGGTCTTAAGGGCTCTGTGTTGGGGACAGTGGGAGAAACCACCTAAGAATCTTCCGTGTCTTTAAGAGGAGAGAGAGCTCGGTTCTGAGTGTGGTGCTGGGAAGTCTGCATCCAGGCCCAGCACCTGCCTTAGGAAAGGGAAGTCTCTACTGTGCCTTGTAGATCAGACAGCCAGAGAACCAGCTGGTCTGGTGATGGCCAGCTCTGATTAGTTTTGTTCAAGAACTGGTTGACACATTGGCATACTCAGCCTCCCGCATCCGCCAAATGTCACCACTGGAAGGCACCTTCCAGACCAGCATTTCTCAATACTGTTATGTAATTTAAAAGACGATGTGATCCAATAAACTTGGGAAACCCAGGATGAAATCAGGCCAGACAGGTTTGTTTCAACTTCTCGGCGCTTTTCCCTTACTGATGTGGATCTAGAATCTGCTGAGACGGTGCATTTTTCTCTCAAATGTACTTGACTGCAGAGCCTGATTCGCTTCTTCCGGCTGCCCTTTAGGAAACCGTGTTCAAGAGCAGGCTCTCTCAAAGTTGAGCATGCATATGCAGCAGCGTTACCTGGCGGACTTGATAAATGCAGGTGCTTGAGCCCTCCCCCTAACAGTTTCTGCATTTCGGACATGGTCCCAGGTGATGCTGGTGGTCGGGGGGACCATGTTCTGAGAACCACTGGTCTAGACTTGTCCCTTGAGTCCACTCCCAGGAGTTGAGCCAGCCGCCTAGTAAGCACTTCTCGTGACCGTTTCTAAAGGCAAGTGGGATGATGATGGCGTTGTCACTAGGCAGGAAGAGCTACAATGAAATAGTAGCCTTTTGGGAGCTTTGCCGTGGGTGCTCCTCAAAAGCCGCTGTAGGAGAGCGAGTGGGTCAGGCAGGCAGCCCACTCTGGAGCCCAGTCAAGGTCTTCCTTCCTTGGCAACACTGTTTAGGATGTGAAGTCACTGTATTTGAATCCTCTGGGCCTTAGTCCCTCATCTATACAGGGAAGAGGATGGATGTTTTATGGGTATCTCCCTCTCTTCTCTAGCACTTTTATTTTTGCACTGAGTCATTTCTTATCTGGTTGCTGTCCTCCTGTCACCAGTCGCTGGAGCTTGTATGATGCTGAGGTGGTGGAGACTAATCCTTGCTGCCTTGGGGAGGAGGGCTCCTCAAGAAGCGTCATGGCGGAACCCCAGTGTGTTCCCTGGATGGTGAATCGAAACAGGGATGACTGTCAAGAGTCAGGATGAGGTTCTAGTGGAAGCGCCCAGGGTCTTCCATGTTGCTTACTCACATGGCACAGTCTGCGCACTGTGTCTAGCAGTCTCTGGTGCAGAGCAATAGCAGGATCAGTTTGGATCATCTCTGTTATGTTAGAGGTTCTTTCAGGGACTTCTGAGGCCCCCGGAATTGCACACAACATTGTGAGCGTACATGGGGTTGAGCACACGTGCGTTTTTCAGCTGATCAGGATGGTGGCCTTAGGAGGAAGGTCAGCCACGCTCGATGGCCCCTCAAGGCAGAGTCAGCAAGTCATGGGTTTCCCCAGTGTTTATGACGCGTCTAAGTAGCCCCTAGGCGCGGGGCAGGAGTGGCCATGAGCGACCGGGAGCCAGAAAGCACAGCAGAAGGGCAGTCTGAGTGGGCGTAAGGATGAACCCTCTGTTTTCTCAGAGGAGAGCGGTGATTAGCACAGAACGCTTCTTCCCCCAGGGCTGGCTGCCTGTGCTGGGGTTTTGCCCGTGAGCTCTGCTGCTGCTCTGCCCTCCTTGGGCACAGGGACATTGCTGATGGCAAGCGCAGGCTCGGCCAGCTTGTGCTGGAAGGGGGATGGCGCTGAGCCCCATAGAGCTGGAAGGAGGCAGCCTTTGGGGTGGCGGGGCGGTGGGGGAGAGCCCACCTTCTGGGCATGCGCAAGAGTGGCCAAGTCCCAGTGGGTCTCGGGCCCATCGCCCCTTCACCTTCCCTGAGGACCAGCCCATGGGCTGACTGTGCCTCAGCTCAGCTGAGCCCGGCATCTCCTGGCCTCCGGGCTCAGCATCTGCCTTCCTTATCACCCGCGGGGCTCCGGTCCCCACCGGAGGCGGGTGCCCTGGAGAGTGCGAGGCTGTGTATGCGTGGAGAGGCTGGAGCGGGTGTGCAGGACAGGGAGGGGGGAGCTCCTTGTCACCGTCACTTGCACCGAAATGGGAGTCATGCCATCCACCTTGCGGTCCCCCCTCTGCCCCGGGCTCCCGTGAAACACCAGCGCGCCTTGGGCTCTGTGCCCCAGCCCCGCACCTGGGCATCACCGGCCGCCGCCACTGCTCCCCCCGACCCCGGTGCACACGGACCCATCCCCCCTCCACTGTGTGTCTAGGTTCCCAGCCCCCCACCTGCCACGGGGCTGTCCCCCGCCCCATCCTTTACTACCTGTCTCAGGAAGGCAGCTCCAACTCTGCCCTTTGCTTAGTGAGCAAGTGGATTCAGATGCACAAAGCCATAAGCCATGGGTAGGTATGAGTTTTTTCTTTTGCTCCTCTCCCTTCTGCCTTCTCCCCCTCCTCCCGTGTCCTCTACCCTCCCTCTCTCCCTTCTGCCCCTGCCTCCCACGTTTCCCCCTCTATCTCTCCCTCCTTTGTTCTGCACCCCCTAAATTCCCCATGTGACATGTTTTTAGCCTACCTGCATGCGAAGGTTTGATCTGTGTCCCTTTTGTTGCTATGAGTATTGAAAAGACTCTGGTTCGGTCCCAAAAGAGCTTCAGTACCAGCTGGTGCCCCCCCCCCCCCCTCCCAGGAATACAGCTTCGTCCTCCCAATACGGAGGCCCCACTTTGGCTGGTCAACCTGTTCCTAGTCATATCTGGTGTTCTGCCCTGGTGGGTCTCTAAGGCACAGCTGGCCCAAGGGCTTCTCAGGAAGGCAGCTCCAACTCTGCCCTTTGCTTAGTGAGCAAGTGGATTCAGATGCACAAAGCCATGAGTCCCGGTGTAGGCAGAAGCTCCATATACACCCTTGGTATAGGGAGTGAGCGAGGCCAGACCCCTCAGCTCCAAGCGGGGATGGCATCCCCAGCGTGGTCCTTCACGTAGAGGGACGCGTCACTCAGTGAAGGATGCCTGCGGGGTCGAAGGGAGCTCTGCAGACTTCTGCACGTGCCCCACGGGGAAAGGCCAGGGTCCGATGTGGGCCCTCCTGGGCGCATGCCCAGACAGCCCAGCTTGTAGGATCTAGTTAGAGCTGGAGGAGGCTGAGCCCTGGATCCTGAGCCAGCCCTGGGCCCACCGGGCTCTGACCGTGGTGGACACCACTCAGAATCCCCAGCCCTCGGCCGAGTCCCCACCTGTACCTATCAGGTAAGAGGAGGTGGAAGGTCTCCAGGCCCCCTGCACCTCTGGGTCAGCCAGAGGGCTGCTTCATCTGTTCACACTTTGGAGAGCCAAATAAGATGGCTGAAAAAGGGGTTCTGCTGCAGATTTGATTTTATTAAACCACGGAAGTTGGTTTGCCCGGGTAAAGTTCCTCCCAGAATCGCGTTCCACTCTAGCAACGCGCTCCCGTGCACTGCAGTCAGGAGCAGTCTTCCTCCTGCCGTGCTGCGGAGGGCGCCACCTCCGGATCCTCTGCTGCCAGCCTCCGCCTTTGCTGTAGTTTGCCCGCCTTCCCCCAGCCCCAGCGCTGCTTTCTGTGATGCTCCGGGGCTGGTGGGGAGTATAAATGGAAGCAGGGGTAGACGGCGACCTCTCATCTCTCGCCTCTGGGGCAAAGCCCACGATGCCAGTAGATGGACGCCTGTTCAAGCCAAAGGGCACTTGCCCTTTTGTTTTTTTTTCACATTTTCCTCCGTACAGGATGGAGAGCATTCTGCCAAGCGCACCCAGCATCACAGTCCATCTGTGGGTCGGGCTGGCCTTGCATTCTGGAAACCTAACCGAAGAGGCGGGGTCTGAGCAGAGGCCACGGGATACCAGACACCCCAGAGGCCTTTTCTAAAAGCACAAGAGCAGATTCTCAAAAGCCCTCCTGACCCGACCACTGGCATGGATGGTGTCAGGAACTGTCCCTTCCTGACCAAACAGACAAGTTTCCAACCGTTAGGCAGGCTGGCCCCCAACCTGGGTGATGCTGGGTGAACATGGGGATGGTGGCTCGATGGGCAGATTCCAGCCCAGCAGTGGCTGTTGGCTATAAAGGAGGCTGGGAGCAGGGGACCGCTGGAGCTCCCGAGAGCATGGTCCTCTGGAGGCATTCTCAGGATGCGGCTCTGATGCTTTTCAGCCCCTGATGGGGAGCTGCCCGCAGGCAAGGGCCTGGGGACAGTGAAGGGGGTGGGGGCCCAGCCGCCCTGTGAGGAGTGGGCGTGCATCCGGGGCCTTGGTTCACAGCCTTCTCCCCACGTGTCTTCCAGATGCGCTGGCTCCCTCCCTCCGAGGCTACTTCTCAGGGCTGGAAGTCCCGTCAGTTCTGCTGAATCCTATGTAAGTACTTGCTTTCAACAAGAACCGTGTCCTGCGCCTGGACGGGCCCAGGACAGAGCAGATGTTTGTAACCGGGCGGCCCCTGTCCTGCCCCAGCGCCCACTCCTAGGTGCTTCCTGGGCTCGTCCGAGGTCGTTCCACTCACCTCAGGAGCCCCGCGCGGCCCAGAGAGTTCTGAGATTGACTTTCCTCGGGCAGGTTGCCCTGTTGACCTGAAGTCTCAGCTGGTTCTCAGGGCCCCTTCGTTTCCATTTCCGGGGGTACTGCTGAGGGCGGATTTCACTTGCTGACATTCTGGGTACCATAAAAGGTCAGGGCTTCCAGAGGGCTCTCGTCCTGGGTCAGAAGGCAGAGGCTCGCCAAACAGGAGGATTAGTGACGGGCATCAGAGCCTCAGAAACCCCACCCCCCAGGGGTGGCCCGTGTCCGTCCACCCTCCGACCCGTCAGGATTCTTCCTCTGGCAATAAGTAACGTGAGGGAATGACATTTTTGTGCTGGAAGACATCAACTTCAATAAGCCACGATTGTACCTTTCCTTCCCCTAACCCAGTGTATTTCTGAGTATGGTCAAAGAGTACTTGTCCTCGGGTAGAGACTTGCATGCTTTCCAGGGCTGGAGCTATAAAGATTTCTTCACCAAGCAATTATCAGAAACTTTATAACAACGTGAGCATTGTGAATCTTTGAGATCAGGAAACTCTAGGATGCAGTATTTCTCAAACGAGACCAGGAATCTTAGGAGAATCTTAGAGAATTCTCAGAGAATCTTAGGAGACTCAGGTTTTACTTAGAGCACACCTCGAGAAACCTTGCCCTCATCTCTTACCCAGAACCTGAACCACTGGCCCTCATACCTATAACCCTTGGACCAGTAGTCATCTGTCAACACTTGTCACTAATCTGTGATGAGAGGGGGAAAAACCAGGGTTCTTCCCTTAAAGCTACTTGTATCTGTCCTTTATTTTGGAATGATGTTCCTCTCTGTGTGTTAAAATACACTTGAATGAAATCGTAATGTTACTGAATGACAATTGTATCTCAAATGTTCATGGTAGATACCTAAAATGTTCCTTTAAAATATTTTATGACATCTTAAAGTTTGTTATTTGAGGGAGACTTTTTTTCCCTGCCTGAAAACACAAATGTTAAGTTTTGAGGTGTTCCAGAGTCCCTTTAAGTACAGAATTTCCTAATCTGTACAGAATTTCATATCGATATGCATGCCCATAATTAATTTTTATTTTGTTTTTTTATGTGGACCATTTTTAAAGCTGAATTTATTACAGTACTGCTTCTGTTTTATAGAAGGGTTTTTTGGTTGGGTTGGGTTTTTGGCCATGAGGCATATGGCATCTTAGCTTCCCAACTAGTGATTGAACAGGCACCCACAGCATTGGAAGGTGAAGTCTTAACCACTCAACCGCCAGGGAAGTCCTCATAATTAACTTTCACACTTGATTTATATATCCCCAGCCATTGTGTCTTTGTCCTGAAAAGCCTTAGTCATTCCGTTCTGTGGGAATTCCCTCCCTGAGCAGGTGCTGCGGGTCCAGCATGGTCATGTTACAAGCTCCGGAAGGCACTGTCTCCGCGCACTTCTCTCTGTCATGACTGTGTTTACCTCTTAATGTTTGGAGGCTGGTAGGCATCCACCTAGAGCTGTCTAGGGTAAGAAAACCGGAAACTGTGATGCTCACAAAGGAGATCACGGGGTGGAATGTAGATCTGGCTTTTTTTTTTTTTTTTTTAGCATCAGCTAACAGTTGAGGAGATGAATGATGTCGGAGGGGAGGCTAGTGGGACAGAACCTGGAGGCTCCCCCGACTGTCAGGAGTCAGCCTGTCCCCAGTGAAGAGGGACCGGGAGCAGGGGCCGCCCAGGGCCCTTCGGAGAGGGCAGTGTTGAGCTGCTTGGTCTGCAGTGTGAGGTGCTGGCATTTCCAGTTGTCGAAAGGTGGTGATGGCGGCATAGGGCCTAAGGGAGGATTTTGCTTTAAGTGTTTATAAAGAACAAAGGGAAGATGTGATCGGTAAGCAGTTGAAGAGCTCTCCCTCCATCCCCAGAGACCTAGTGGCGGCGTGGGCACCAGGGAAGGGGGGGCAGTTGCCCCCCGTCCCCCGGCAACTCCCCTTGAAGTACGACTTGTGAAACACTGTCAGATCCACATAAAGATGTCTCGTCTCCTGTGGCTGCATCATTTGTTCTGAGATAAACTCGGGCCTCGGGCCAGGCGCCTTCCTTGGGGTCTGGGGGACGCGAGTGGGGCAAGGAGGTGCTTAGGGAGGCAGGCAGATCCCTGAGCTCATTACACCGCACTTGTGGTTGGGGCTGCAGTCTCCCGTCCCGCCTGAAGTTAGACCAGCTCAGCAGGGCCCCATTACTCAGGCTCCGTCCAGTCTCTCGGACCAAGCCCTTTCTGAGACAGCTAATAATCCAGGCTGAGTAATCGCAGGGAAATGTAAGTTAGAACTGAAAACAGTGGTGCCGATGAAATGGCAAACATTTTATAGCAGAATGAGTCTCTTGAAAAGGGTAAGTGAAGGTTAAGTGCCACCCATGTCACCACTGGTGACCCACATGGCCTTTCTGCTCTCAATGGAAAGGGCTTCCTTCCCGCCTGGAACAGTGGCCCCAGAATAGGAGCAGGAGTGACATCTGGTGTCAGACACGAGGACCTGGGAGCAGACCGGCCGTCACTTCTGCCTTCTTCTGGACCCTGAAGACTCCAGGCCTGTTCCCCCAGGGGGCCCTCAAGGATTTTTTAAACACATTATTGACTGGGAGTTGGGGTGGTGTTGCAGAAACTAATGCCTGTGGCCACAGTGGTTGGTTATGTAAGTGAATATTGAACATTTGGGTAACAAAAGACATGTTAATACATCTAAGTTGTTGATTGACCCACGCTGAGCTCATACTTCTAAAGGGAAATCGGTGACTAGAAAAGTAAACGAGCTCTCTATTCTTTAAAGAAACACGTGTTATGTATCTCCCATGTGATAGATGTAGAAATGTGTGAAACTAGGTCTGTACCCCTGAAGAGTTTAAGTTCTAATGGGCAAGAGCCATGGACAAACATTTCAGAGTGAAAGGAGAATTACCACTTAGGACGCTCCTAAGGAGGTGCGTGTGCGTGTGGACCGCCATCAGTGGCGTAGGTAAGGCCTTTAGAAGAGTGGTTGTTCCGTGGTTGGGTGTTATTGACTCTTTAATTTGTTCAACATCTTGCTTGACAGATGGTGTTTAGTCTGCTTGCAATGTGTGTACCTCACTACAGAGTTTGGCTGATGGTTCAGCCATGTGGTAGAGAATCCCAGAATACATAGTACTGAGTTGGAAGTGATCAATTTCTCAGATGGTTTGAGAATAGGACACTCGAGCAAGTCTGTAGTCATTCCTTAGAAGGAATAAGTGTTATGCAGTTTTCCTGGTTGGAGTTCCTGGATATGCAGTTTTCCTGCATTTCCAAATATAATTAAATAAATCAGAAAAAAAGGGGGAAGAAAGAGAGCTGGAGTGGATGTGGGAGGGTGTTCATTAGAAACTCATGAAATTTTCCTGGCCGTGGACCAAAACCACAGCATAGAAACTATAGGCACATGAAGTTACAGCCTCACCAAATCAGAGGAGGACACAGCAAGAGAGATAACGAAGCTGGATTTGAAGCTGTTTGTTCGTTTTGTTGACTCTCAGGGAGGAATGGCCTCATCTGTCTTTGGTTGTGAACAGGAGAGCCTTGGGTATATGACTTCTTGGGTATATATCATCCAGAGAGTCTAAGAGCTGGATATCCAGGCAGAACTTAAGAGTTCAGCAGGGTGGGAAGGGCAGAGTCTTCATGGTGCCCTGATAGCTGCTGTGGCTCTTGCAATCACCCCCGCCTTCTCCCTAGAAGAGGCCCCAGGGCCATTCCCTTTCTTCTATGAACCGAAGTCTTTCAGTCACACTGAAGCAGATTAACACAGTCAGTATTCAGGGAAGATCTGCAGGGCATAAGGGGCTATTCTAGGTGCTGCATATATAGCAGTGGACGGAAGCAGACAAAACCCTTGCCTTGGTGGAGACATTCTACAACAGGGAGAAGAGTAATAAACTACTAAAACACAGTAGGCCAGGTGGTGAGGAGGGCTAATGGAAAAATGCAGAACAAGAAAAAAAGGCAAAAGTCAAGGGTAGCAGGTGCTTCCTTGTACACAGGAGCAGAGATGGAAGCTCACCCATATTTATATGGGGTTCCTTTTCTAGAACAAACCTGTGTGTGCATGCCTGCTAAGTCACTTCAGTCTTGCCCCGACTGTGTGACCCTATGGGCTGTAGCCCGCCCAGCTCCTCTGTCTGTGGGATTCTCCAGGCAAGAATACTGGAGTGGGCTGCTATTTCCTCCTCCCATGGATCTTTCCGACTCAGGGATCAAACCCTGAGTCTCTTAGGTCTCCTTCATTGGCAGGTGACTTCTTTACCACTAGTGTTACCTGGGAAGCCCCAGAACAAACCTCACTTTACTCAAGTTTAGAGAACAGTTTAACTTCTCTCTTCCTCTTCTGCTCACCTCTCCTTTTGCTAAATGAAAGTGAACAGGCTTGAGCCGGGTGACGCTTAAAAGCACTGCTGGCATTCCCGAACCTGGGAGGCCCGAGTTCATGAGCCCTGCCCTGGGAGGGGTCTCTACATGCCCTGGTTGTGATTTTCGCCACCTGGACGTCTGGGGTTGGTCTGTTCTGCTTCCTGTGTGCATTATAAAGTAGGGATGGGCCTGAGAACCTGCCTCCTGCCAGGTACTGGGGTTGAGGCGTCCCTTCCAGCTTTGGGAGTTCACACACACCAGGCGTCTGCTCACCAGCTCATCTGCAAACCCAGACTGTGTGACCACCCCCACCCCACCCTTCGTCCATAGTCTATTTCTGGCTGGGAGACCCCTGACCACGCGCACCAGGGAGCTGCTGGTCCGGTCCCTGGAAGACATTCACAGAGAGCAGAATACTGAGTCTGGGCAG